GCATATTTAGGAATTTCTTCCAAAAAATGAGATTTATGCGAGACAAACTTCTTGAATGAGGAAGGATCTCGTTCCAACAAACAAACTGAGGCTGGGTATTTATTTTTCAGCAGCCGTGGCATACCCGCTGCGTAGAACACCACCAAATTAACTTGCTCAAGATACTTACAAAATTGTGGAGGGGATGCGGAATTACAGTACAAGATATGGTCGTCGACTCAAGCGACTTGTGCGCCAAGTTGCTGTCAAACAGATGTCGAAAGTCAAGAAACACCGATTGGTGCTTGGAATAGAACCGAAAGTTTATTCAGATTGAGTAACAGCAAAGGCACCTATGGCAAACAGCCTGACAGATGTTATTGCGCATACTGCGCTTATACTTGAACTCTTCTATCTTCTACGACGCCAATCATAAGAAGTAATCGAATATATTTTTTCAGTGGATTTTTGCATATCTTGGTCAAAATCACGTGTTTGCCCTTGAGGCCAGCTGCCGAAAGATTGTTTAATTGTAATAAATCGAGAAAAATCCACAGTTAAAATCAAAATACTGCAGTTTGGTTGCATATTCACCTTCAAAATCAGACTCAGGTCGTCTATATGACAGTTAAAATGGTGAGCGGAAGATAGTCGTCGAGGTTTCTCGGAAACAAAGCCTTCAATTGTCCTGCGAACGGTCCGAATTTAAAGTAAGTTCAACCTCTATGTCGATCGTTCATACTGTATCATTTCTATGGAAGCACCATTGGAAGTTGGCTTTAGCGTATGAGTGCTATTGATCAAAGTGCGTAGGATGTTTGCATATCTACTTTCTCTGTTGCCACATTGCATTCCATTGAAATGGCTACACACCCTGTTGGAGAGACTAGTACTTTGGTAGGCGCTACCAGGGCAACACCTGCCAAACCTTAGCGAGAGCAAATCCCAAGAGACAGTATATTTCGCTCAGATATTTCCCGCTGAACGTAAGATGTAGTCCCAATAGAATCAAATTACTATCGAACAGAAAGTACAGACTTTCGTGAACGGGCAGTCCTGCAAATAATTATTATAGAAAGTGGATAGTTTGCAGTCCTCAAAATTCAATAAACTCATTCAGTAACCGCCGATCAACCAAAGAGAGCATCAGTTAACGTGACTTTTCTACAGGTGACTAGGAAATCCTTCCTCTGGAAGCCAACATAGCAGTGTGTATTTATTCGTTTAAGACTATTTTAGGCAGCTCAGTAGTACTTCTATCTGGTCGGGAGTACTTGGAGCAGAATGGTATTACCGACAAAGACAAGGGAGACTGGAATGGCCATTTCTGGCTTATTAGCCGTCGTCAGCCAGCCATACCCAAGCCCGAAGTGTGGAACACCCGAGCCTCGAACTCGCGACCTGTTGGTTTAGAAGTCCACGCCTCTACTCACCGGGCCACGAGCCCGTTGCCCTGTCGGTTTTCGATCGGGAATACACAATGTTAGGGGGCGCTCACCAATCGTTCATACGGAACTCACTCTTTCCGTTGTGCCTTATGAACTCCCTCTCGAGCCCAACCAGCAGCCGCACAGCGGCGCATGATATATAGGCAGTCGGTAATACCATTCTGCCTATATATCATGCGCCGCTGTGCGGCTGCTGGTTGGGCTCGAGAGAGAGTCCATAAGGCACAACGGAACGAGTGAGTTCCGTATGAACGATCGGTGAGCGCCCCCTAACATAGTACTTGGAGCATTTATGCCCAATGCCCGTGGGCTTCGGCATTTTATGTTGAAGCAACTTCGCACCCGCAACTTTTCCCCATGTTCCCCGTTTGCCGGCATTCCGTACCATTACGGCGTTAACTCGAAATCTGGCCAAGTTATTTCCGATTCTTGCCCCTTTTTTGGTCCCACCCACTGTAAATGCAAGTAATTTGTGCGAGGCAAGTACCGCCGAAGACTGCCTACTTCTGGTTCACCTCATGCTCGATTCTCGCAGGCTCTCTGTCACGGTTGAACAGAATGTTAGCGGCACACACGCCCAGGAATCCGGTCTCTGGACCATTTAGACTGCTTTGAATATTCTACAGGTGATTAAGTGCACATTCTACGCCCATTTACTGAATGGTTATCAGACAGAGCAAGCCCCGTCCTTTCACATTTTGCAGAGGGGCTTTCATCCCCCGTGGCTTTTCTTGATGACTGGCAAGAAGGTAGATGATTCGGCATCTTAAATTATGCTCTTTCGACTATTATTTCCTTACTGTTGTCATGGTCGCGCTAACCGTCGGAAAAAGCAAGCGCTAATAAGATTATGAAGGCTAGTTACTTTACCTACTCTGCTGCTCTGAAGATAACGAGTCCTGACCCATAAAGAATAGGTGAAGGCGTGCCAGAAGTTCCGCCAGTGCGGAGCAGAATGCAATCTTAACTAAAAAAACAAAACATATAGTAGTCACAGGCAAGATTAGCACGGTCCGCAATTTTATCCAAACTCGCAGAGCTCACGTCGGGAATCAGAAACAACACAACGCCGATTATCCGCACAAGTGGTATCGTGCCAAAGCTAGACCAGATAATAAAAGCCTGCACGAAATCATGTGTCAAATTGTTTCACTACACCTTTCCACACACGACTTCCGGTTATGAGCTCCCTACCCTCCAGTCTGCCATTTAAGATAAGCTAACCGGTGAGAAACAGTCCATGCAACAGTGCACCTGGCACTTGGATGGATAACTGTAGCTTCATCTGAGCACAGCGGCCGCCGTCCGTAGAGTTAAATGGTGGGCAGCACCTCGTCATCACCCAGTTCGATGCACTTTTGCGGACAAAAAATGGAATCAGATCACACCCTGCCAAACAACCTTTCAAAGCCACTTTTAACCGCCGCCGCCGCCGCCAAACCCGTTGGTCCTAATGAGGGACGTTTTTCGACCATCGGGCTCGCAGATTCCCAAGTTTACCTTGAAAACTACTCCAGCGAACAAGCAGGCTGGGGTTATCGACATAAATCTGACTTCAGGTGAACGCCCTACTTGAAACGACTAGGGAGAAATGTAAATTCCCAAACCCGAGACTACATGCGCATCTGTTCGCATACACAAGTCCTCTTGACAGACATGGCTTTGCTTCAAACACGGGCCCGACCATGTGACAGTAACTACGATACCAGGCGAGCGCAAACTTCACGGTCCAGAAATGTGACAAGTTTAAGGCAAGATGTTGGCCACCCCATACCAGGTGGCTGCTCGACAAAAATACGTCTCCAGTTGAATATTTTTCGCAGCCAGCAAGGTAAGAATCCGTTCGTGGACATGCCCAGGTAAAACTGGCCCCCAGCCCTTTTACTAGCTTCCGCATATTAGCTACTCAATAAACGTATACTGTGAAACATGAACGAAAAGCCGTAATACACTTGCATTTGGTAAGGCTATGATCATGCCTGATCTAGCCGTCCTCGAAGAGGTCACGCATTGCACCACGACACGCGTGACGACCTGCGGCCGCGGATCTGGATAGGTTGGCCTGTTTTCTTTCCCTACGGCGGGGACACTGAAGGAATCACCACCCGCAAAACTTCGTCGATGTCCTATACTGAAAAGCATTTTGATAGATTCCCGACCGCTTATTCATACCAACGTAAACGCACAGAGGCTAGTTGCTGATGGAGTACGCCAAGATTGTTATCGGTGCCCACTAGATGCCACGTTTCTGACCAATTAGCCCCACCTAGAGGAATCAACAAGTTTCACCATTATCATGTTATTACCTAACAGTTTGCAGTTTTTGAATATATTGTTCACTACGACATTTCTCGGGTATGAACAGAGTTGGAGGGCCTAGGGACCCTAGTATCATACTACAGTGCGTGACCCATCTCATGAAATTTTGGCTGAAATTTCGGAATGCGTTTTCGATTAGGAAGGACTACTTTGATGGGATTGTAATATGGCTCATCATGAGACATGATCCTATAGCATTTCGGACTTGCCCGGATGTCGGCCCTTGAATGCACTTCTTTTCGACCTTTGCCGAAAGCACACTCGGTAAAAAAATGCTTACCTAAGTAGCATGCTTTCCCCATTGATTTTCGATGGTCCTATAAATTCAAGTATATTTAATAGAAAGCATGCACAAAAATAGGCTTTCTTTTATTTTTTGGTGAAAAATCACCTTATCTTCACGTTTTATACTCGAAGAAATGGTATCTTTCGGTTTTAAAAAAAGTTTCTAACTATAAAACGTTTAAGACCGTGCGATGTCCATACATACAGCATCGTACATACCCGTTTACCAGTGCTCCTCATGAAACGTACAACATAGTCAGCATCCATTACGAAATTTCAATGAACTCCACGTGGTATCTTCTTAAGGGCATATAGGAATATATGACTTTCCTTACGCGGATAGCATGTACCTTGCAGACTGGAATCGCTAAACGCTAATGAAAATAATTCGCAATTTGGGAAACTTTTTCAAAACCTGAATACGCGCTTTTTTCGAGTATAAAACGTAAATATAGGACGATTTTTTGCCAAAAGAATAAAAGAAAGCATATTTTGTGCATGGTTTCTAGTAAATATATTTGAATTTATGAGGCAATCGAAAATCAATGGGGAAAATGCATGCTACTTAAGTAGTCATTTCTACCGAGTGTGGTTTCTGTAGAAGGTCGAAAAGAAGTGCATTCAAAAGCCGACATCCTGGCAAGTCCAAAATACTATAGGATTATGTCTCATGATGAGCAATATTACAATCCCACCTAAGTAATCCTTCCTAATCGAAAACGCATTTCAGAATTTCAGCCAACATTTCATGAGATCGGTCACGCACTGTACCTGTTCCTCCCGACCTTGTCCACTACGCTGCCCAATGGATAAGCAAATTCTGGAAGTAAAAATGCTCTTTTTTCTGTGGATGGGGACAAACAGTATGGCATGAGGTTGACGGAAGGAAAAATTCTCAAGAAAAGGAGAGGGAAGTAATTTCATATACAAGCCAATGGCAAGGAGAGGGGTGGGGAGGGGACCTTTGATTCAAACATTGTCCTCGCCCGCCGCGAGAATATAAACCAGTTCACCGGCACCACCGGCGGCGCATCCCATATTCATGCGATCAGCACTCAGACCCCTAGAAGATGCGTAGGGACCGCCATCCGAGCGTCGCGAAGCGGCTTGGGTCGACTGGGAAAGCCAGGTGTAGAGCGTTTGCATGGACTGAGTCAGGCTGCCCAGAAGGGCAGTTAGGCAGACGTCGTTGGCTTGACACAAGAACTTGTCCGTAGAGCTGCCCGCACCTACCGACTCGTTCGGTGACAGTGCGTCTGGCTGATGCTGCTGCTGCTGCTGCAGGCTGCTGAGGACCAGGGGCAAGCGCCGAAGGAGGGCGGAGATTTCACGGAGCCGGGGCCAGTTCGGCGGCAGTTCACCTTTAATCACGCTTGCAACATAGGCCTTCAGTAGGTGCAGCCGACGGGACAACATCTGCACGGCCTGGACGTTACTCATCAAGTACTCGGCAGTCTGGAAGGAGGGATAAGAACTGGGCTTTATTGTCGGAAGGGTAGTGAAAGTTGGAGAGTAACGAAGTTCAGTGCACGAAGTCGCCCCTTGTAATGCATTTTTCAAGGTCAATGATGCCTTCTAAAGTAATCAGCAGGCGGGTTCAAGGAAGTCACTTCGTGTTAAACGGAAAGTAGAGCTGCAATCGCAGCCGTTAACAGCCAACGTATGGCGAAGTCAACTAACGCCTATAAACGCAAAAAAACATGGATGGGAATCATTGAAATACACTAGTTAGTAAGGCCTCAAAGAGACGTAACGAAAACTGAGGCCGACATCCCCGTGGAAGACCAACTTTGATTTCTAAAATCTAAGTGTGCTTCACAAAGATTCCCATAAGTTCGACTCGGTGAAGTGCTCGGCAGCGTTCCTCCAAGCCCCTTCTGAATTGCCAAGATAAATATGATTTCTAATGTTTGCCCATCTGTACCGACTTTAGCACATTTCTTAGCGTTGAAAGGGTCGCGTCATCCAAAGTAATCAAGAAATCAACCATCGCACATGGGTCTCCCCTGAAATAAATCAGCTATTGATGTCGTCGAATAAATGAGGTTGTTAGGAAACCTTTCGACACACATTGCAATCAGCGTATCAGACAAGAGGAATAGGCTTGGTGTTGCTTGTCCTGTGGAATTTATTTTCGGAAGTAAGGACGGTATATTCTTTCATTTCGACGGCTTTGCAGGAAATAAATGACAATGTGACCTTGAGAGCAATTATTTATACCCAATAAATTGCTCCAAAAACAGGCCACGCGGTAGAAGTGCTGGACTAACGCAGGGGCTAGGTGGGACTCCCGCAAGCGTTATCAGGAATGTGCACTCATAACAAATACCAACATTTGGGGTATGGCGGCTGGCCCAGTTGCCGGCTCACGCCGCACCAACTGGGATCTGTGCTGTCCTCCTAATTTCGTAGTAATATAAGATCCTGTTCTGTGTTTATTGTGGACCAGGGGGGTGTGGTGGTACGCCTAGATGCGATTTTACGTCATGCCATTCACCTGCGTCCTCCCTCGTCCCTGTTTTCTTGGCTGTCATGACACCAGGTCCAGGTGGGCGATGAAAAAAGAGTGCGGTAGATGGTACGCAGGTTTACTCCCACTATAAACTAATTCACGCGCAAGTCACCACCCCTGCTGTGAAGACAGGTTGCCCGTTAGCCCACCTGCTGGCTACCCGCCGTGTCCACAGGTGGCGGATAGTGGAACGGCCTTCAGCGGTTAGCTACGAAATCAGCAGGCCCAGGTCTGACGAAAATGCAGTCGCGGACTAGCAGCGACAGTGCTACCAGAGTGCGGCCGGCTGAGGTTTGGCACGTTGAAAGCCTCATAAAAAACCGTAAAGCCCGATGACAGCACTGTGACATGGCGACCGTGAACCGCCATTAAATAAGTTTACTTGCCACCGCTGCCTTGTGGTTAGGCTTTTAAGCCAAAGTGCTAGAGGAGACAACCTCGAACAAACAATCCGAGCGGCTGTTGGGGACCCGCCCGTATTCGAAATTCCCAAGAAACCTCATGAAATATGTCCGACTACAGTATTACGACCTATGCTACGGCGTCCGCAAGAACCGACACGCTCCACAACCGTGGTCAGTAATGCGGGCGAATAGTATGCGAGCTGAACTACTCAATCGGGGACGGACTCTTCGTATTTGATGCTGGAATATGTGAACGTTCCTGGACCCCGGTACCCAAAATCTGACCGCGCGCAGCCTTAATCAGTACAACGTGGATGTCTGCTGTCTGTCCGAAGTTCGACTTCCTGACACAGGCTCTCGAAAAATAAAGATCCCTGGAGCCGAATCACATTTCACCCTGTACCACATCGGCCCGCGTGACTCTTCTGGTAGACACGGTGTAGCGATTGCCCTCTCGCAAATAAGCGGGCCTCGCGTTACTTGTTTGGACACCAGTCAATGACCGGATGGCCTACGTGCGACTGAAAGGTCACTTCACGAACATCTCCACCGTCTCTGTGAACGCACCAACTTCAGCTGCTAAACAGCGCGATAAAGAGGCGTTTTACTCGCCGTTGCAAGCGGTAGTTCAACGACTCCGTCGCCGTGATCTGCTGATCGTCGAAGGGGATTGGAATGGTCGGACTGGACCTGGCGACTACAAACAGTCATCTTCTTGGCCGCTTTATGCTTGGCTCCCAATGTGAAAATGGCGAAAGATTGATGAACTTCGCTGGTCTGCACCGACTGATTGTCACCAACACGTGTTTCCAGCATCGCAGCAAACATCTGCTGACCTGGTATTCAAACGACGTTCATACGGCCAGTCAGACTGACAACATACTAGTCAGCTCAAGGTTTCGAAGCTGCGTTCACGATAGCAGATCGATGCGTAGTGCTGCGATTGGTAACGCCCATGCGTTAGGCCATCTCCTTATTCGCACACAATTGAAAGTTCACCCCATCCACGCCAAAAATGCTATGTCCTAGACGCCTCGATGTCGCAAAAGTCTAGCGGACCAGCACTGTCGAGGTCCTGAGCAGAGAAATTCGGTCCTGTTTTACGGCCCGAGCCGACGGAGAACGCAGTAACCAATGATCGTCACTGAAAACGTCAGTCTATGGGGCAGCTGAGAAAATCCTTGGATATACCCAACGACGCCGCAATGACTGGATCAGCGGAAGAACCCTGCAGTTGTCTGCTCAGACGACTCGGGCCAGGTCCAAAATGATGATTCCTCCTGCCACCTTCGAGAGATGACGGCAAAGTCCGCCAGGAATGACCGGAAGCAGTAGTGGGCTAAAATTGCGACCTCCATGAAACAGGCCTCAAACGTGGGTGACACTCAAGAACTCTATCAACTTATCCGCCAACTTAGTGGTAAGCCCTAAACACCGAGTGACTCAGTTCGCGATGTGAATGGCAGCTTTATTGCTGACAAACCGGTCAAAGTCGAGCGTTGGCGTTAGCACTTCGAGCACCGTCTCAATGTCGATACCCAACTCACTACGCCGTTCCTGTCCTCTGCAGCGGAGTTTCTTCCCTCTCCAACCTATGCAGTACCATGCGACTCCCCTTCTGGAGGTCGTCGATGCCATACGAAAGTTACGCAACAACGAAGCACCCGGAGAGGACGGTATACCCGCTGGAATCTACAAGTCTTGTGCCAACACTCTGGCGCCTTGGCTCCATGAGGTAATTGAACAGGTGCGGGGAGACGAGGTCGTTTCTGATGACTGGGGCTCAGGCATCCTAGTACCTAGAAGACAAGATTCGAGAACTACCGCGGCATAAGCCTCATCAACGTTGCTGCGAAGATCTTCTATGCAGGCGATTCCAGGCTATGCGTGACTCTAGGACGGGGCCCAACCAAGCCGGATTTCGTGCTGGACGTGGATGTGCGGACCCGGTATTCACACTGCGGCGCATTCTTGAACTCCGCCATAACTACCAGCAACCAAGGCCGTCTGCCTTGTTGGCATGTACTGTGCATCTGTCCGGCCTATCCTTCTTTATGGTTGTGAGTGCTGGGCTGAGCGCGTGGAGAGCGAGCGGAAACTGGAGGTATTTGACCACCACTGTTTGAGGACCATTTTTCGAGTGAAGTACACCGACTTCGTCTCTAATGAGACACTCCGCACCCGCTGCGACAACATAGCAAGGGTAACCCAAGCCATCCAAGAAAGACGACTAAGGTGGTTTGGGCATGTTCTTCGTCGTCCACCTCAGGGGGTCAGTGTTACTGCCCTCGACCCAGCACCGTTATCCCACTGGCGGCGTCGAAGAGGGGATCAACTCAAAACCTGGCTCGACACAGTTCGTCAACCTGCTCTCGCCCTGTTGTGGAGCACACAGTGGGCATCGTTGGTGACGACGGTCGAACTGTCACACTCAATGTGGTCGAAAATTAAGAAGTGGAATGCCACGCAGGGGTCTCACTATGGACAACGTATTCTGGTGGAAACAGAGGTTCCACGAGTCACAATGTAGCAAACACAAACGACGCTACTTGGTAATCAAAATCACAGGATCCAAGTATGTAGTTTCTAGAAAGTAAAAAGAAGCATATTGCGCACTTTTCTGGCAACACTGTAGGTAGGGCTGAAACGATCTCCCTAGACTGCAAAGGTGCTGATTGCGAGCGGCGAGGACTTACTTCTAGTCGTAATTCTTCGTTTAAAAGGAAATTTGCAGGGCAGCAGTTTGGCCGGAAGTTTTTGCTACGAAATGAAGAACCTAAAAGAAGCTCAAGCAGCTAACGACTGCTCGAAGACTTGAGAAAGCTGCCGCCTGCGAAGCCTCCCAATGGGAGTACGGAGGAAAAACAAAATCGCACATATTTCTACCAGTAATGAAAACAGGCCGTTGTACACCATTTCGGTGGAATTTTACAATACTTTTGCAGGCCTCTAATCAGATCGGCAAGGTTTAGCTCAAGGTCTCGATGACTTACTAACCTGGGTTCAAATCTCAGGTCATCCTGGCCAACAGGTGGGGTATGGCTGGCTGACGATGGCAGATAAGCCACAAATGGTCACCCCAGTCCAGCCCGCCTTTATCGGCAACATTTTTTGTATGAACTGCTCGTCGCTACGCATACCCTACGGGGATTGCGCGTCTTCCGTGACTGCATTATTTCTTATCGAGCTGGCTACATTACGCAACTCGCTGCAACAATTCTTATCAATATTTAGACTTAAAATGCTTGAGTTAAATAGCCACCCTATCACGCATCCGGGGTTCAGTTTGAAGAACCGTTCCTGCTGAGAAAGACAAAACCACTCATGTCACATCTCTTGCGAAACGCATTCCCTTGCTGGCAAACTGCATGGAAGGCACACACTTGTGAGATGTAATTACCTCCGTGCAAGTCTTCAGAACATCTGCCTAAGGGGTGTGACCCAGGGAAGCGGGGATTAAGGTGGACAACTGACATTCGGCTAAAGAAAAACAGACTGGGACCGCGGGAGCTCTATCATCGTGCAGTCGAAATCCGTTGGACAGGACCAAACTCCAGTGCATCGTTCGGGGGTTGCCTTCGGAAAGGCAGAGATGATAGTAGAGTGAACGGGAAAACGTAGCGCAACTCTCTCTCTCTCTCGACCAAAGGATTTGCGTATAATCCAGACCATCAAAGGACTTCCCACGCGTATGCCGCGTCCCAGATGCTTTTCAGAGTAGTTTGTGGTCGTAGCTTCCCAACTCCAATGACTGGTACCCATTTAAGAGAATGCATGCTCGCACTAACTGTGTCAGACCCAAAATAACGTCCTGATTGGCTCTGGAAGAGTAGAGAAGTCGATTCGTGACACACTGTCGTGATTCTTAGGTCAGCTTCTATGTGTGTTCATCGACTTTTACCATGAGGTGTTCGTCCACCAATCGTAAGCCAATTGCAAATCCCAATGGTACCCCTCGAGATTGTGATATTTCAAAAAGCCAGTAACGTTGACCATTATCAATATTTGATAAACCACCTAAAAGTAATAGACGATGTAGTTTAATTTACCGAGCTTGCATTATCAGGTTACCCGTGAAGAACGAAATCTCCTCTCAAAAGAACCACTCGCAAAACATGCTGTAAAATAAGGGATTGATATACGAAACATTGGTCCTTAACAAAAGTCGTAAATACATAATTGAGAGCCCCTGTGGGTCTGGTAGGCCTGCTGGACGGTATACAATGTATGACCATTTATACGGACAAAATAAGACATACCAGGGAGGTCTCCTTGCTGCTTGTGCATCCGGAAACCCTGGCAATGTGATCCACACCAATTCGTTCCGCCTCCCCTTGGGCAAGCGTATAGGGGACCTCGAAAGGGAAAAAAAGAGTAACAGATAAATCAGGTGGTGAATGCAGGGACTGTCAACCGTAACAATTGACTGGGACAAGCTAGAAGCTCCGTGATTTCTCAAGACGTATCTTGGTAAAACTGGTATTGAGCGAAAGGTAAAAAATGCAGTAGAAAACCAGAAACGGTGCTCCTTGCCGGACACCCATTCACAGCTCGCTCATCTAATCTGGATCGAAAAGGCAGAAGTGTATGCGACAGGCTCTGTGTCAGATTTGCTGATAGGGGAATCTGCTGCTCTGCTTATTATCGTAATACGGCTAAAGGGCGCAGTTGGCAACAAAGGTGTGGTTGCTGGTTGTGTCCCACACACCCACCGCGCAGTTCTATCCTCTCCGACGCTGTCAACAACGCCACAAGGAGCTGGAAAGCGCGAACCGGCAACACTGGTCTGACGACTCACGATGTCTGCAGAAAGTCTGCCACCGGCAATCTGTATGCCAACGACGACTGGCTCTTGGGTTCGATGAAAACAACAGGCTGTTTAGGGTCAACAGCAGGCTCCAACTCCGAAGACACATGCTGGGATGTTTAAGAGGGAAGATCGACGCCCAAAATAACCGCATTTTAGCAGGTTGATGGTGAGAAGACTTGGTTCTCGAGTGTTGCCTAGTGCAAAGCCAAGAAGTACACACAAACTCGTGGGAGAAAGGCTTCGCTAGCATTTCAAGGTGTTTTTGGTGAAGGTCACTACATTTCAGAAACCTGATGTAGCAGAAGTAAGTCGTCCCCCACTAGATGCTACAAGCCGCAAAACAATAAAAGTCGGCTGCTGCATTCCGATAGGGAACTATCCGCATTCTTCTCAAATCGGTGAGCCATCCTGATACCACTTTGATGTGGCTAGAGGTACTTCAGCAAGGGTGATAAACTCACACTGTCCTAGAGGACTGGAGCAATGGCAGTCTGCTCCCTTTCCTTGAAAATGGAAGAAACGGGAGCACCTCGCCGTCCATGGTGGAGAATTACGAGGTCATGATCGCTCAGTCCTCTTAACTATCTACGTTAATGCGATGTGAAAACTCTTTTTTCGGAGTAATGACTAGGCGGAAGACATCGACTTGACTTGAAATTCCTCCGACGAGGCACATCTCGTCCTTGAACACAGTCATTGTCCAAAGTAATCTCGACCTGAAACTGTGAGTTGTGACAGCTTCGTCTCTGCCCATGTGTGACAACAGGCTCTGGAAGGCCGGTTACGTAAACTACCTCGGTTCTTCCAAGATACCGGCAGAATGCCAGGGTGAAAAAGATTGCCGCAAAGAACCTACGGGCAGCATATTCTCCGCTTCTGAACGTAGTTGTGGTCCCGCCGTGTCATTCAAAGACAACAAGTTAAATGCATGCCACTACAGTTCAGACTGTTCTGCCTCATAGACATGAAAGTTGGCACAAGCACGCTGCTGACTTGCTGTGCATAGGCTGTGGTCACAAGTGTGTTGTAACAACTGTCTTTTAAGAATAGTTGTAATGGGGACGAGTGGTGTCACGGCCCAGGGTAAAAGGAAGTCGCTGATATGTAATTAAGGGCAAACGCCTCTTCTTGAAAGTAGCGTTTTGGCAGTTGGGAAACTCGGACGTCTGGTCTTAGGCATCACAGTCGTACATCAGGATATTGGCTCAAAAAACGCTCGGCTGCTCTTTGGCCACCAAAACCACTTTGGGAATTGTTCTGAAGGCAAGAATGAACGTGCGGAGTTATTTCATTTTAATGGCCGTGTTCCACATCTTCCTCATTGCTCGCTTGAAAATATCAACAAGACGTCCTGTCTGGTCGTTAGATTGGGGATGATAAGGTGGTAACGTCACAGGCCAGATTCGTCATTCCTGGCACAAGTCTCGGAATAGCAATGACGTAGACTGTGTGCGAGTACGCCATATCTTGAGATGACTTCTTCCATCTTCCTTACAGTGATATTAGCGGCTTCCTTTCGTCTTAGGCTGTGACTCCGATACGTTTTCCACCTCCATAACAATTCCGAAGCTTCGACTGACCAACCATTTTTCAAACACGAAGACACAATAGTGATGGGGGACACCCATGGTTAAGTACTTGAAAGGTCCCAAATGGTTCAGTCATCTGCAACGTCACTTTGAACCGACCGTCGAGGCAGCTAGTCGAAAAATGGGCTGAGGATGTTAAGTTCGGTCCGGAACAGTGGCTGAGCCCAATGATCTTCTATGTCCAGGATTGAAGGGCGACCGAACAACGATCGTGGAATGCAAAAAGCACTGGTCAGCAAGATTGCAGACTCGGGACCTGACAAAACCAGCATCAGTGATAGTCAATAAAGACGCACGTATGAGGATTAGAAATATTTTCAGCTCGCAAGTGAAAGGGTATACGAGGACTGTCAAATATAGATCTGGAAATATTTGTTAATAGTTGAACCCTTTGCGTTGTCAAAAGTGCATGCGGCATTTTCTTCGGCAATCGGCACGACTGGTGTTTCGGTAAGTGATACCAACGATGTAGTTTTCAGTATGACTGCAGCAAGCATTTTACCAATCATCTTCCTCATATGAGAAAAGTTAGAAAAGTCATTTACGCACATAGAAGCACGCCTAAACGTGCTTCTGTCTACTTGTATTAGCAACAGTGCATCAACAATACTAAGTAGGAAGATGCTGTAAATCTACCTTTCTTTGGCCATATAGGCACATGTTATCCATGGCCTGGCAATACTAGACCGGAGAGGGTGACCTTTAGGGCAGTAACAAGTCGAAAGTAGACGTTAACGTGCGACTGACTTGAGCATAAACTGCTCCACCTGGGTCATCAATACGCACAGAACTCAATAGTCAGTCCAGACACATATTTGAAGCACTTTCCCAGAACCGTCCCATCCACGAAAACAAACGGTCGTTCGTGCGCTTTTCTCGATATCCTTCAGAAGTGTCAGCTGCCATATGCAAGCTGTCCGATTTACGTATACAAAGAGGAAGACGAGATTGGCGAGAAACAACTAAGAGGGTAATGATAGGAAAAGTGGGAGCAAGGCGATGGCGGACCAAACACTTACTCGCTTAAAAAGGAATCGAGCATCGTTGTCGACAACTGACTCATATACGCGCACCGGTAATTGTTCGCCAAGTTTATCAAGCGGATCTAACTTCACAATGAGAAGTGCCTCAGTGATTTCTTGCATCTGGAAACCGATTGGTTATCAAGAAGTAGTTGACTTACTTGGTAGTGGAAGAGTTTATCTTCCTCATTTATTGATCTACCAGTGGTATACCAACCGACCAGGTCGAGGTCCGAAAATATTTGCTTCGACTGTGATTCACGGTTGTTGAAAAATTCAATATCAACCGTTCTTTCGTCGCTGACAACCAGCTCAAAGGACGATATAACCTGTCATAGTAGTTTAAAAGGTGACTTACTTCGACAGTGCGGCCATTTTGCTTGCCCAAAAGGGCACCGAAAACCTGTGGTGACGATGAATCCCTCGCTAGCTTTTCTCGCATCCAGTGCTCAGATATGCTCAGGACAACAATTGGATGCAAAAGTACGGACACAGTGCCTTGGCTGATTTCATCGGTCGTTGGTAAAATAGTCTCATCAACCTCCATTGAATTTTGCTATTGAGGGAGCAGAAGGAAATCTCTGAAGAAAAGCCGGCAAACCGAGACAAGGGTTATCTGGAGCAGAATTCTGATCTAAGAAACGGAATCAGAACCGAAAGTGCGCACCCTATTGGTGCAGGAAAACTTATAAGATCAACTGTAGACATGCCCGCCAAGAAAAACCACCACACCTAATAAGGATACGGCTTTGGTAGAAAGCAATGGAAGATTGAAATCAGGATGGAAAGGTTTCTCTGAATGATGTTAGTGAAAAATCATACAAATATTGGTTTGTTTTCAAGATGATGAAGTTGCAGACCACAATGAGCCTGCACACATTGATCCCTAGCGGCATTATTTAAAGCCTTTATGTACTGTTTAACCTGATCACAGCCATTTTTGGCTTTATCTATCTTAGCTTTAGTGGTATGGCCCGCAATGCTGTTGCAAAGAGGGAAGCTACTGGGAAAAGTCCCGCACTAACCTGGCTGACAGACAGAAAATCTCTGTCTGAACGCTTTTTCAATTTTGCTGAAACTATAGTCAACTTGTACCGGACGGTCGTTTTAAGCAGCGTTTTCCCCTCGACCACTTGTGGCGGCCGAGGACGTCAAGAATATCTTGCAGCGAGGTAGCGAAGCACTGGGAAGTGATCCTGGCTAAGACCGACCTGAACAGGGACGTTAACATGTCGTAATACTCATCCATACGCAAGGGGAGAAGAGACGTTAGGTAGGCAATAAAGTATAATGGGAAGAGATCGAAACTGGGAATACATATAGTAGTTTTTAGTTGTACAAACGGGATGAGTTACGACAAGGGAGTAACCTGTCTGAATGGGAGGGCGACATTGATGTGTCAGCTGGACAACCGTAAGAACGCAGTGCAGTTGTCATCTGCAGGGGGGGATCGAAAGAGATGCCGACGTAGAGAGAGAAATTGATGAGAGCGTTGCGCCAAGTTGCGGAAAGGGGATCGACGGAAGCGAGAGGAAAGGACACCAACCATCCTCACCTACACACAGTTGCGCAATTACCATCTCAGGTCCACGCGCCAAGGGTGTCTGCTCATTCAAGCAACCCTGCACAGATCGTAAGGCGTTACACCCTGTAGCGCACCACAAGTTCGACAGGGTTGTTTGAACGAGCTGAGGTCATGTTGGCGCAGACCTGGATGAGTCTGATGTGATTGCCTACCAGTTAAGATGGTTTATGTTCCTTTTCCTCCTACCGCTGGTGTCGCTTTCCCCGTTCTCAGGTCCGTTTTTCCTTCCTTTCCCTTATCGTCAGCACACTCCCCGGCCCTTACCTACAGTTGCCAACAGCGCTGCAATTCCCTTGGGGGTCTAACTGACATGGCGTGGCCACCTCCTACTTCTAATGGATCATTTGTACAATTCCTCTCACTTTTCTTGTATTCTTTGTTTTCCACTTTTTTACTCTGTCAATTTGTTGTCATAGCACAGATTTCATACATTAGAAGCCACTCTAGGTGGTCTATTCTTAAAAAGGGGCCGCTATAGCCCCTTTTTAAGAATTCCGCGCCGCGAACTTCGGACGAACGCAACCTCTCCGCGCATTCGTTAAGTCCTAATTTTCATTAAATAATTTCCTATATATCGTATCTATCTTTCTGTTTCGCTTTGTACACTTGTTACCTAGTCCATTATTGAAGTTTGGCTTAGCATTATGTAGTAGTATCTTTTTGTACATCACTATAGTTGCAACCAGGGGCCCGCAAAGCGTGCTAAAAGCGTTATCACAGCAAAATCTGTTAGTTACGAGGACGAGCCATGCACTGGATGCTCATTCATTCTGCTGAAAGTCCAAAAACTCGAAAAAGAGTTGACTGCTTTAAGGGAACTCGTGCAAGCGAACGATAGTGTGCAAAACGCGGTGAATATCGCTAAAGTTAGCAAGAAAAAGGGAAAGAGCAAAACTCTAAAACAGCCAAAGAACAAAGCATGTGGAAAACCTCTGTGCAAGAGCGCCGATACCCAGGACGATGGGAAAATAACAACGGAGTCTCTTGTTTCTATGGGAGACAACCCAAGCGAGCCATCAACTTCTCTCAGCCATTCCGCGTGTTCAATAGGACCCTCAGTTGGAAGTGAGGAAACAAGCTCATGGCAAGATGGAAAGGGTAAGCGCCACAACTGGAGTATAAAACCCCAGACGACTCCGGTGGATCTTCTGAGACCTTCAGCTGACAAGGCCACCGGAAACAGAAAAAATAAACCCCATTGATCGTCAGCACTGCGTAGTCGTCCAGGGTCTATCGGAGTCGGATGCTCCTACCCCGAAGGAGAGGATCTCCGCTGACCTTAATATGCTTCAACACCTACTGAACGAAATGCTTAATTCGAATGAAAAGATAACCATTCGCGCAGCCTTCAGGATCGGAAAGAAGGCGAGCGAACAATCAGAAACTGTGCGGCCACGACCTCTGAAAATTGTTTTGAACAGTAAAGAGGAAGCTAGCTTACTTCTGTCCAGGAAAAGCAGCCTCCGAAACTTTCACAAGGAAGTTTTTTTCAACCGGACTATTCTCCAGCGGAACGTCTGAAACGCCGCGAATTGGTAAGGAGTTGAAGAGGAGACTTGCAGCGGGAGAGAGCAACTTGGCCACTTTCAGGGGACGAGTAATACAGAGGAACGTGATGTTGTTTTGGAACCAGCCAGTCATCATGATGGCGGCAGCAACATAATATTGGCAAACCCGAGACAAACCGAACGAAGCACTGTCGAATGTTGCAAACTAAAATTCTTTTACACCAATGCTCAGTGTCTGTTTTCCAAGCTTGACGAACTGAGAATACAGGTTGCCGATACTCTTCCCGATGTTATAGCAATAACAGAAACGTGGCTGTCAGAGGACGTTGGCGATTGCGAGGTAGCATTAACAGGATACCATTTGTTTAGGAGAGACAGGAGAGGCCGCCGGGGTGGAGGGGTTGCCATGTATGTCAAGAGCAACTTAGCAGTGTGTGAAAGGACCGACAAGATTTCTAACAACACAGAGGCAATTTGGCTAACTATAAAGGCACGGGGATCTCAGTTCCTCGAAGTCTTAACTATCTACCGGCCCCCGCAGGCGGGTCCCGACCCAGATACTTGTCTACTGAAAAGCATAAAAGAGATCGCCAGCCGACCAGACGTTGTTATCATGGGGGATTTTAATGCGCCATGCATTTAATGGAGCGATATGCATGCGAAATGCTCGATGAATACCTTCGATTACCATCTACTAAAGACAACTCTAGAAGCTCTACTCACGCAACATGTCCTGTTTCCAACTAGAGCTCGTGGAGGGCAACAGGCCAGTTGTCTGGACCTCGTTTTTACCAAAGATCCTGACAGTGTAGACGAGGTGTACTACCTACCCCCGCTCGGTCGAAGTGATCATGCAGTGCTTTTATGCGAGTACTTGCTGTATTCTGAACCGTGTACAAAAGACAATACGAGGCCAAATATATGGAAAGGGGACTTTCGCCAAATGAGAGCTGATGCATCACAAATAGACTGGGATGTTCTCTTCTCCGGAAACGTTAACGAGGACTGGAATTTATTCAAGGATCGTTTACTGCATCTTATGAAGAACCACTGTCCCTTATCAAAGCCTAGGATATCCAACCGCCCTCAGTGGCTTACACGAGAACTCAAAAGGGAGATCAACAAGAAAGGTAGGTTGTGGAAAAAATTTCGCGAGAACAACAATAATGCAGCGTTTACAGAATACAAAATTCAAAGAAATAAGGTAAAAAGTCTGATTTTCAGGAGGCGACGGGATTTTGAGACTAATTTGCTCCACCAAGCCGTTAAAAATCCAAAATTGCTCTACAGCTATTTGCGGAAAAGCACACGTAACAGGAATCCCATTCCTGTCATGAGGGGTGATGACGGCTTGGAGATATCGGACAGTACAAATAAGGCTGAGCACTTTTCTCAAATTTTCCGATCCGTTTTCACAAGAGAAGCGGACTTTACCCCATCTAATTCTGAGAACATGAGAGATCCCACTATCGAAAATATTGTGTTTCGAGAAGAAGCGATTTTGGAAGAACTGAAAAGCTTGAAGGAATGTAAATCTCCCGGTCCGGACGAGATTCCAGCAAAGCTGCTCTTTGAGCTTGCCCAACAGCTGACCAAGCCACTAACCTTTCTGTGCCAAAAATCGTTTGATGCTGGAATTCTTCCCACAGACTGGAAGACGGCCCACATTACACCCCTTTACAAAAGCGGAGTCGTGCTCTGACGACAAACTACAGACCCGTCAGTCTGACATCAATCTGCTGCAAAGTGATGGAGAAAACCATCAAAAAGGAGTTGATGGCTTACTTGGAAACCCACAACCTCTTGTCCAATACACAATATGGTTTCCGTAGGGGAAGATCATGTGTTACGAACTTGCTATACACATTGCAAAGTTGGACACGAGCACTGGACGCAAAACACACCGTGCATGTTGCCTATATTGATTTTCGGAAGGCGTTTGACAGTGTTCCGCACCAGCGTCTCCTACACAAGTTGAGAATTATGGGCATCGGTGGCAAACTTCTCAAATGGATCGAAAATTTCCTTGTCGGCCGCTCCCAAATTGTCTGCGTAGAACAACAGCAATCAAGGTGCACATTCATAGAGAGTGGGGTCCCACAAGGCTCGGTGCTCGGACCAACTCTCTTTCTCTTGTTCATCAATGATTGCGTAGATGGGTTGGACTGTGATTGTGCCATGTTTGCGGATGACATAAAAATCTGGAAAGTCATCCAGAATGCTGCCGATGAGACCAAAATTCCAAGAAAATCTTTGTCGGTTGGACGAGTGGTCCCGCAGATGGCTCTTGTCCTTCAATTTGAACAAATGCACCATTATGCGCCTCGGAAATCAGAGCCCTAGTACGCGGCAATACCATCTGAACGGAATGCCACTCCGAGAAGCAGAAACTCAGAAAGATCTCGGAGTTTGGGTTGCAGACAGCCTAAAGCCTTCTACACAATGCTGTAAGGCGGCCAATGCCGCAACGTCAATGCTATATGCCATCAAGCGGGCATTCGTAGTTTTCGATGAAGACTGCTTCACCAAAGTCTTCGGCACGTTTATCAGGCCGCACCTCGAATATGCAATTCAGGCCTGGAGACCATGGACACATCAGGATTACAATATGCTCGAAAGGGTGCGGAGGCGAGCCACAAAATTAGTAAGAGGTCAAAGTGCACTGCCATACGAGATCCGCTTAACTAACCTTAATCTCTATCCGCTGAGTTATAGGCAGTTGCGCGGAGACATGATACAAACTTTCCGTATCGTGCGCGGCTTGGATTGTGCCCTTCGGCGCGATGACTTTTTCCAACTCGCCACCACAACTCACCTCCGGGGACATCCCTTCAAGCTACGTGTGCCACAGGGTAGACTGAATGTGAGAAAATATTTATTCTCCAACCGCGTCGTGGAACCGTGGAATAACCTGCCCGAGACGGTTGTTATGTCTCAATCTGTGGAGACATTTAAATGTCGCCTTGACAGATATATGCTGCAGCAACAAGCGGACTATGCGACTTTTTAACAATGTGACTAGTGATATATGTGAATCAATGTATGCATTCACTTAATGCTGTAATTTCTTCACATTTTTGCTTGTTTATCGATGTTTTATGTACAAATAGGGAGTTCAAAGGCGTAAGCCTATTTCCCTCAAATACACTGACTGACTGACTGACCTATCTTCATGGTTCCTGTTTTTTGTTTCGAGATTTGATGCAATGTTTTTCCGCTCTGCGTGCATCTGAGAATAACCATTTGCGCGATTGTCATTTTATCCTGGTTCGTCATTCCCGAGCCCCGCAAATCCCCGACCGATTTATATCACGAACAAAGTCGGCTTTTAGATGAAGTCTCACTGGCGAACCCTCGTTGGAAATTCCAGATAACTTTCCCGACTAATAGTGAGGATAAGTCTCACCCAGCCTTATCTTGCTCGGCACCTACAAACTGAAGCGACAATGTAACTGTGGTATCTGTTCAAGTATTATTGGGGCTTGGATTAACTGAACAGTGTTGACAGACCCGTCACCTACTTTTCCGTCCTGTCGCAAATATTCCGCGGATTGTAGAACGTCGTGTGCTGAAGCGTAAGGATCACTATATAATTTGACTGTATGCTACTAGTGAGCGAATTCGAAGACGAAACTGTGAGAGCAACGCTATAGGTAGCCCTAACGACACATTAGGAAAAGTGCCTACGGCTCTGCGAATTCGAATATTTTTCCCCACCGCCCCTTAGTTCTTTAAAAGCGAAGAACATGAAGCCGAAAATTGAACAGCGGCAAACAGTCGTGTTCACGTTTCAGTTAGCCAGAACTTAAAGGGTGTTGATCAACCAAGTTCATTGAATGCATTGGTATAATGCCGGCAGTTTTCGAACAACCCGAGGTTAAAATGACGACAATGTTTTAGACTTTTGCAAGATGCATTTAGAATCTGGCCAGTCAGTGTGCCTACCGGATAACATACGCCAGTATGTCTATTCGAGCCTTCAATCGCACTATATCCCTGTTAATTTTGTTTTGCATATAGGGATCACTTATACGTTCACTGGTTTTTCCGTTTAACCTACCCGTAATCGCTCGGAAGGATAAAATATGGGCTGTAACGACCATGAAAATCAAGAAATAAGTTCAAGGATGTGGCCATCGACTTGGACTGGAAGACGTTTCTCGGTCCCTAATGACGTCTTTCGTGTACCTCCCCCCGTCTTCACTGCGCCTCGAAAATCAGCTGAAGCTCACTTCAAAGGCCATTTCGTCTCCGCCAAAAGACCCTCCCTTAGTGTCTGCCAACACCAACCGCCCTCCCGTTTACTCCCCTTTCTTTCAATCTTAGCGTAAATTGGGCCCTCTGGCTTTCCGTAGAGCACTACCTTCCCTCCACTTGAAGGTCGGTCGACGGACCTTAGGAAGATTTTTGGGTTAGAGAAAGCTAAAGTACATAGTTATACTAGGTTCATTTCACCGACGCCAATGTAAAACCTTGTAATGCCCAAACAACCGTGTGTACTTATATGTTCTCCTTCGGCACTTTCAGAGGCAGCTGATGTTTAGTCCAGGTCAATGAGTCGCTTGTTTGGTTCTGATTTTGAAGATGGCTTCATTGTAGTATCAATCCACACGTTAGACCGAAGTCACACAATAGAAGTCAATTAACCAAATTTTTCAACTACATTGTCCGTAATACTGAGTTCGTTTACAAGTCCAAAGTATGGAGACCATTTTCAATTCTATTCTATCGTTTCTTCAGGCTTATGTGACGTTGGGGTATAAGGTTCCCCATGTTTTGATTAGGCTGACCCTCTAACAAGATCTAAGGGAGGTAAAACCACAGTAGCAAAGTGTTATGAGTCACTTAAACAAAAGCTGGACTAGCTTGCTAACCTATAGTTTGCATATTTGCAGGTCACATTTGCGTTGCCGATTTAAAAATCAACTGCAGATATGATTAAGCTGTAACGCGCAGGCCCTAAATGTGGCAACAAGGAAGCCGCAGGAGCTTTCAGTATATCCCTTTTTTCCTCATCGCTACCCCATATAACCATGGCATCCTTCAAGAATTACCGCCTCTGTGACTGTAGTATGCGCTGGTAGAACTTCGTAACGATCAGAGACTGATTACCAAAGTGAATATGTTAAATCCTAA